GGGGGGTGAGTAAAGAAATAGGACCCACTAGTGGTGTCTTTGAACTATCCACATAATAGATTCCCAGAAGCACATTACACGTAAGCGAAGACCCCGGACGGCAATCCCAGAGAACATCAATATATTTTTTCAAACTATCGAACTTTTGGTTTTTTTGCGGAAAAACAACCTTTGACATCTGTTCTATCATGTCACAATGACCAAACTGTTGAAAAAACCCACCCTAAATGACCTAAAGGGGCCTTTGAAAAGTGGATATTGCACTAAAAAAGTTGTGTGTGTGTGTCGTGTGTGTGTGTGTGTGTGTGTGCGTGTGTATGTGTGTGTGCGTGTGTATGTGTGTGTGTATGTGTGTGTGTGTGTGTGTGTGTGTGTGTGTGTGTGTGTGTATAGCACGGGGGTGATATAGAAAGTTTTAGTAAGTGTTTTACGGCACTTGCAACACAACAAGGTCATGACAAGTGCCGAAGATTAGACGTGTTACAAGAGAGTAACAAACACGAAAAGGAAAGAGAGAACAAGGACGATGGATATTTGATAAGAATTAAAGCAAACCACACCAGAGCACCGGCCAACCACCCACTATCACCTCTCTAAACATACGCCGGTCAAACAACGTTACAGTATTGTAAACGATAAAACCCACACAGTTTTATCAACCAACAGAACAGGCCAAAAAAAAAAAAAAAAAAGAAAAAAGATTTTAGGAAGTATTTTACGGCATTTGGAACACAATTGGGGCATTGTATAAGTGTCGAAGATTAGAGGTGTTGGGAGAAAATACACGCAAAAAACGGAAAGGAAAAAAAAAGGAAGAGAGGTAATGTCAAGGACGATATACTTGGATAGGAAAGAAGGTGAAAAACTACACCAGAGCACCCACCAACCACCCACAAAAAGTAAGGAACGCTGAACAAGAAATACAATGAGCAGACCATATCAGAAACACCCACCAACCACACCCGCCGCCAATCTTGAAACGACGTGATCTTTAGCGTGCCCCTCTGTGCACAAAGAAGTGGGGGCCGTTTGGCATTTCAGAACAGTAGACATAGACGTACGGGCTGTGGTGGGTGGAATGCCAAGGCTGAGAAAACGAAGGGTACCCCGGTACTGCTTCGCATCAAGAGCAAAAACAAGCAAAACCTGGAGTGTAGAGGTAACCCTTTAACCGTTTTGGCTGCTGGTTGGTGGGTGCCCTGGTGTGGCTTAAACATGCTCCTTCTTTCCAATCAAACAACTATCGTACTTATATATGTCTCCTCCTCCTCATTTTCTTTGTATTATATTACCACTCTCTAGTAACACATCTAATCTTCGGCACTTATATGACCAATTAATTTGTGTTGTTGCAAGTGCCGTAAATTAACGCCCAGAACGACACAATTTTGATCATTTAGGAGGCGGGCTAAAGCCTGCTTTAACCTTGCTTGTCAGGACCAACCCAACTGACAGACAGAAATATACAATGATTCAACAACTTCCACACTAAGGCTGACTTTTGCGTGCAACCGTACGGCCAAAAACCCCACCATACATCACCACATACTGGCAGGCCTACAATCCTACATGGTAGTACAGATCGGGCCAACAATTACAAATGGGAAACCCCCCCCCCCCCCAAAAGAAACATAAACAAAAAGAGAAAATAATGGCAAGCTATACTAAAACGACCAACGACAATTTGGACGCTAACTGAGTAACTCTGTCCCAAACCAAAAACCTAGCCCTAAGCCTAAGCCTAACCCAAACTCTACTAAACCCAAACCCTAACCCGTAGACACTGCACACAGGTAGACTATGGTCAATCAGGTATGTAGACAGACAGTCACCTGGGCTGACACCTACGTAACAATATATAAGCTTGGTGGATTCGAGGAGAAAGCTTGATGAATCACGACACACGAGTAAGAGACTAGGCGGCCTTCTCAGCAGGTAAGAGAGCATCATTTGAGCAGTAATAAGAAGAGTAGGCCTGCATACAGAT